TTTACAAGAAACAAACATTCCTATGAAAATCAAAAATTTTATCGGTACAATTTTACCACTAGTGGTATACTCAAAGTTCAAGAAACATATTAAACATGGCATACAACTTGTTTAATGTATTACTTTGATTAAAAAATTACAAAATTCAATAGTTAGAGGTAAAGTTTACTTCTTTATTATTCCTTTTTTATTACTATTAAATTAATAGTAGCATTGAAACGTAAAATGCTTTAAAAAGGAAACTTATATAATATTAAGTAGTACTAATACTTGGTACTATTTCGTAATATACTATCGCTAACAAAAAAAACTCATACAGCTATATTGTGGCTGTGTGAATAAAACTTTTCCGTCAATGTCAAGCTGACATCGAGCTTTGTCACATCCATTATGACTTTTTTAACAACATTTTCAACCAAACAATGCAGACGAACTCTGGCAAGCCATTGAAGCCATTTGGAACGAGATAAAGCAACACCGCGACTTCCATGCTTTGCCGTTTGCGGGCAGTAATTGACAAAAACAGAGGGATGACGAAATATTATTTTTTTTTCAAACTTCAACCTAACTTTGTATTTAATTTTAGACCTTTCAAATGTGACGTATCATTTTAAAAGCCATAATTACTCCAACGAAATGATAGAAAATCAGGAACACTAGATTCTTAAGCTGTATGAGTTTTTTTTGTTAGCGATAGTACAGGGTGTTTCTTTTAACTTGAGACAGCTCAATATCTCGAGAAATACGCATTTCACGGAAAAATGTCTTAAATAAAAGGTTAATGTGACTAAAGGGGACATTATGTGGTGCTACCGCTAGCCACCCCCTACCCCTCCTTAAGGGTGAAACGGAGGGTAACTTTGGAAAGTCAAATGGAATGACCCGATTTTTTTCACAGAGTTTGGTAGTACATAAAAAAAATAAATAACTTTTAGTTAAAACTTTTTTCAATTTATTAACAGATAGCGCTGTAATTCAAAATTTAAGAAAAATGAGTTTCCTTGTAAAATGTATTATTTGAAACGTTTGAAAAACAAAAATTAACATTAACAACAATAGTCGGCTATGAAAACAATCTATAACAAATGTTCGAAATGTCGTCATTCCATTTCAACACATTTTTGAATGCGGGTAATGAATTCTGGCACACAACGCGCCAACATGTCGGGCGGTATCGCCGCACAGGCGTTCCTGATCCGCTTCACCATGTCCTCCCAAGTTGTAGGAATTGCAGCGTAAACTTTTTCTTTCAAGTAACCCCACTGGAAGAAGTCTGGTGGCGTAAGATCAGGTGATCGAGCAGGCCAAATTACTGGACCACGTCTACCGATCCACCGTGGTGCACCGGCCATTGAACTCCCGATCCAACACCTCTCGAGCAATTGCCGATTAATGCGTAGGACAACCATCAGCTGGTACCACATGTTTTGGAGCCGTGCTAGTGGTACATCCTTCAAAAGGTCCGTCAGATCGTTTTCTAGAAAATTCCGGTACTTTTCGCCATTTAATACCGTCAATAAAGAAGGGTCCGATTAATCGTTCGCTTAAGGTACCGCACCAAACGTTTACCGACCAGGGACGCTGGTGCTCCACTTGGTGTCGAAATGGAAGGACGACATTTCGAACATTTGTTATAAATTGTTTTCAGAGCCGACTATTGTTGATTTAATGTTAATTTTTGTTTTTCAAACGTTTCAAATAATGCATTTTACAAGGAAACCCCTTTTTCTTAAATTTTGAATTACAGCGCCATCTGTTGATAAATTGAAAAAAACTTTCAAATAAAAGTTATTCATTTTTTTATGTACTACCAAAATCTGTGAAAAAAATCGGTTCATCCCTTTTGACTTTCCAAAGTTACCCCCCGTTTCACACTTAACTATGATTTCGCGAAAGAATCGAACGATTTTGGGGTATTTTTTTATAACACATCTCAGATTTTTTTTATATTTTAATATTGTGTTTATACATCTAATTCCACCCTAAATCTAAAATTTTTCTTTTATCTGACCTAAACTTTGGCTCCCAGAGACCATTTAATTTAACCTTTCGCAAAAAGCCATAATTTCATTATATTAGCATATTTTTTTTATTAAAATACTGAATGTTTTGAGATGTGGTACATAAATGACCCTTATTAGTACCTACAATTCTACCAAAAAAAAATTAAATTTTTTACATATAGGTGGCGCTGCAATTTTTTCTTCTTCAAAAATAGACGTTTTTTGAAGACCAAAAACTCTCTTAAGCAACAATCCTCAAAAAAACTAAATAGTATACCAGATAATATACATATTCCTTTATAATTTGATATATAAAAATTTACTTGCAAATGATGTTGCCGCCCGTAAAGCCAACTTAAAGTTTTGTTTACCGCATTAAAAAAAATTGAATTACACTTACAACTTTATTCTTATTTATTAACTAAGGAATTCCAGGAGATTACTTTTATTGGTTACAATGATACAGCAAAAAAAAGTTTTATTTTTTCACACCCAGGGGGCGCTGCAGCCTTTTTTCTTTAAAAACTATATAGCATTTCAGATAATATAGCTATGTATTCCTTTATTATAAAGAGTTACGTATTCCTTTATTTATTTAATAGGTTTGTTCTTTATTTTATTTATTATGTTTTTCTTTATTATTATTATTATTGATATTACTATTTCTTTATTATTTAACATATAACAATTTATCTGCAAGATTTGCATATATTAAATAATACAGATATATCCTAATAATTATTATAATAATAATAATTATTACCTTTACATTAAATTTTAAACTTGTTGGGCTCTAAGGGGTATATTCGCTAACTTTTTAGTTATAAATAACCCTGGTTTATATCATGATACTGGCTGGTTCAAATCTCTAGAGCGATTCTCAGAATCAGTCTAGAGATTTTAACCAGGGTTATTTATAACTTAAAAGTTACTTAGGCCGCAAAGGAACTACATACTTTAAAACTGATAATGACGATGACGATAATCTTGATAATAAGCCGCGTATCTGATTAGGATGCATAATATGCATTGCATATACTCGTTTGAAGAAAAATAAAATTTGCCATTTACTTCATAATTTTGTAAAGCTGTTGCTATATATTCAGGCGTAAATTTAATTTTAGTTTTTTCACCTTCTTCAAAAAGGTTGCCAACAAAATCTTTTTGTTTTTCATTAATTAAAACGTGATTTTTTAATTTTGCGCCTTCCGAACCCTTTTGCATAAACTCGAAAAAACGTATTTTTATCTTCTTCATTTGGGCATATATTGACGGTAGATATTGTTGAACTAGTTGCAGTTAAAAAATCTTATTGTTTTAAAAATTCCATTCTAGCAACATCACCTATAGTTTGTCTAATTTCAGGAAATTTATGATTTTGAAATTTAGGTGGTTTAGAAGATCATCTTCATTTTCAAAAACCCTACTGCAAAGTAATTCGTCGCACCTATATTTAATTGCGTACCTTTAAAAGCATGATATTTTCCCTCTCCAATTTCAACTTTTGTAATAACGGCAAAATTTTAAATGTTATTATGGTTACCGTTTGACAGTAACTGTCAACTGTTGGGGTAACTTGATTCCCAGCCTATAGGCTTGACTTTAGTTTAATTTTAAAGTACGATAATAAAGAATGCTTTGCCTCTCGAAGTATACTAAAATATATTTAAACAAATGGTCATATTACTATTACTATAGAGTCACTGAAATACTTGTTACCATTTGTAACTAAAATTTCTTTGGTTTTGTTACTTTTTGTCCGCATATATACATGTATGTATACAACAATAAAAGCGAAAAAAGGCGTTTATATAACAATATGCGGGTACGTGCACTAGTTATAATTTTAATCGTCCCTACAACAGGCATTAATTATTGCAAATAAATTTTTATATGTCAAACAATAAAAGAATATCTATATTATCTGATACATTATAAATAATGTCATTAGTTTTTTAAGCAATGTTACTTAAGTAACTTTATGGTCTTTATAAACGTCTATTTTTTAAAAAAAGGCTGCAGCGCCCCCTGTATATAAAAAAATAAAACTTTTTTTGTTGCGTTTTAGTTACCAATAAAAGCCATCACCTGGAGTTCCTTAGTTTAAAAATAAGGATGGAGTTGAAAGTGTAATTCAATTTTTTTTAATGCGGTAGACCAAACTTTAAGTTGGCTTTACGGGCGGCAACATCATTTGCAAGTAAATTTTTATATGTCGAATTATAAAGGAATATCTATATTATCTGGTACGCTATTTAGTTTTTTTGAGCATTGTTGCTTAAGAGAATTTTTTGTCTTCAAAAAACGTCTACTTTCGAAGAAAAAAAAAATTGCAGCGCCACCTGTATGTAAAAAATTAAAACTTTTTTTGACAGAATTGTAGGTACTAATAGGGGTCATACATGGGCCAAATTTCAAATCATTCAATATTTTAATAAAAAATGTATGCCAAAATAATGGAATTTGGCCTTTTTGTGAAAGGCAAAATTAAATGGTTTCTAGGAGCTAAAGTTTAAGTCAGATAAAAGAAAAATTTTAGATTTAGGGTTAAATTGGATGTATAAACAAAATATTAAAATTAAAAAAAAATCTGAGATGTGTAAATCGATCGTTCGATTCTTTCGCGAAATCATAGTTAAGGAGGGGTAGGGGGTGGCTAGCGGTAGCACCAAATAATGTCCCCTTTGGTCACATTAACCTTTTATTTAAGACATTTTTCCGTAAAATGCATATTTCTCGAGATATTGAGCTGTCTCAAGTTAAAATAAACACCCTGTATACTAAGGGATACCATGCAATACAAAGTAATTCTTGGTAATTTAACGTAATACCTGGAAGTATTGAGTTTTAAGTGATATTTGTACAAATTTGCCTTGTTGTTTACCCCTGTCCATAAAATAAGTCACTCTGGATTTTCTTTTAAATAGATTTGGAAATCAACAAGAAACCAAGAGTTATATCGGCAAACCGGTTTTTTTTAGCCAAAAACAGACTTACCTTGGATTTTCTGTCCCTGACGATGCTCTCCAACTTGGAGACGGCGTACAAGCACATCGGGCACTTGGGGCTCTCGTTCTGCTGCTGCATGAACACCTCGACGTCCTCTTGCGCGTCGTTGGATGGACAAGCCCTGATCATGGGGCACACCTGGGACGGATCGATCTCCTGGGCGAGAATGGCGATCAGCGCGGGCTCGTACGAGTCCACGAAAGCGACGCAGGTCTCGTTAATCGAGCCGGGAAGTCGGGCGCACGCCTTGTCTATCACCGCCTTTATCTGCTCTTCCGTTTTCGGATTGGTGATGTCCTCCTGGACGAAGTGCAAGAAATATTGACAGAACACGCAGGATTCCTTGCTGAAGAGGTTCTGGCCGTGCGGCGGCATCAGCAGTTCGATGGGCAATTGAGCCGATTCGGGCGACAAAATTTTTACGTTCGTGTTGCCACTTGGCATTTTGATGTGCACCAAAGGTTTTTCGGGCAGAGCCGGGGTTTCTTTTAATATTTCGGCCGTCTCAATGGGTAACAATGGGGACATGGGTTGCAACTGGAATTTAACAGAAAAAGCATTCATTCAAAAAATCTAAATACAGGGTGCCCCATTTTTAAAGTGGCATTTCTTGGCTCGTGGGGGGGAATAGAGCAGTGCGCGTGGTTGCTTTAGGTAGGTACTATTGCGGCCGATAAAAAGTAATCGATTCTTTATCAAGTTGCATGTTTTTCTTAAAAATTGGCTATTGTAAGTAGGGTTTTTTACGTCAGTCATGTCAATTAAATTATTTTGACAAGAAATCATGACATATTTAATTTTATAATAAAAAAAACTTAAATTATATAAAGCATGTTTATTCGCAATACAAACAAAAAGAACAAATTATTTATTGGGTGACCAAAATAAATAAATTTAAACTTAAAAATAAATAGTATACTACGACTATAACAATTATAAAAGATGAGCCAACCAGGTTTTGATGGGCTCAGAAAAACCGGCCCTGGCAATTTTTTCATTCAGCCCTCCCTCGGGCATTATCTTACACATTTGTAATGCTATAAAAACTCCATTTCAAAAAAAATAATTAATACTTGGTAGAACCACCATTCTTCTCTATAAAATTTTGTAATCGCCTAGGCATGGAACTAATTAAATTTTGCATATCGTAATTTTCTTTCAAATTGTTCCACTCATTTTGAATTTTATTAACAAGGTCTTTTCTATTTCTTGGTCTAAATTCATATTTATATATTTTTTTACGAGATATCCCCAAATATTTTCGATTGGGTTTAAATCGGGGCTTCTTGACGGCCAAGGAAGCGTTGTAATGTGATTTTCTTCTAGCCAATTATGAACCACATGAGGAGTGTGAACTGGCGAGTTATTCTTAAAATGAAAAAAATATATTTTTTTGATCAGGAAAGATAAATCATAAAGTGTTACGTGTTGAAACACAAAATCATTATCAAATCTTTCTTGCACTGACGGGAGCATTACATCGTTTAAAATTTCCACGTATCGGTTCCCAGGTAATCGGCCTTCTACAATATGAATTATACCAGCCCCTGAAGATGATATCCACGCCCACACGTGGACAGAAAATCTTCCGCTGTTGTCAGTTTTGTGGAGGTATTCATCAAACTTATGGTTTCTGGGAGGATTGAAATATTTTTTCATCTGAAAAGACTACTCGCTCCCAATATTCAGCTTTTTGATTTAAAAAATTATTTGCAAACTCCACTCTTGCCTCTTTATTAACATCCGTCAAGCGAGGCTTTTTAGCACTCACGCAGTTAAATAAACCTTGTTCTCGCAACCGTTTTCTTGCCGTCCTAACAGATGCTGGGAAGTTGGTTTCCTCTTTGGCTTGAATAGAGTTAGAAAATGGGTTTTGCCTCACATATTCAACCAACTCGTTGTCGTTTACTGGAGTTGTCTTTCTTGGACACCCAGAACCCATTACCCTACTCAGGTCACCAGTTTCCACCCACTTTTTGTTTAATTTTTGAATAGCGCTTTTGCTGCAGTTTATTTCATCTGCTATTTGTTGTTGAGACCATCCTTCTCCAATTTTGTCGATAATATAGCATTTCTCTGCTTTACTTAAAGTATGGTAAGGCATTAAATAATGACTTTACTTAATTTAAGATGACGTTACTTAATTTTATAAAATTATTTTTGAAATTCCACTGGTGACAACCATATTTACAACGGGAAAATTAGTCGATTACTTTTTATCGGCCGCAATAGTACGTGCATGCCATTTTCAGTCGTCATAATGAATCTGTCAGAAATATTTGGGATGTCCATAAAAATTAAACTAACAAAAAATCTTTTTATTTTTAGGTAACATATTATTTCATACATTTCATGTTTTAAAAATAATGTATTTTAAATGACCGCCGCACAGTGTTTCAATTCTCGAAAATATCGGCAAAACCTCAAAAATTGACATTTGTTTTCAGGTAAATTTTGAGTTAGATGGGTAGTTAATACCTGTCACAATCCTGTATTGAAAAAAAAATTATATAAAATACGTATGTATATTTTGTCTATAATATCAGTTTAAACTTGACGCTTTCAGTTGAAGGTACTTTACACGCGATCGCTGCGGAAAATTGTTTATTGTTTAAAAGTGAATAACTGGTGTTTGGTGAGTCCGATTGTTATACGGTTTGATGAAGGGTGATCTTTAAGGTATGTAAAATTCAGATAGGTATTTGTTTTTCGTAGATTTTGCTTGTAAAACGGATTATCGTAACCGACAAGATCGATCTGTTAAAATCGCAAACTTTGAATCGAGCTTTTAGAACAATGAAGCTACAAAAATTTTAATGAATTGTAAGGCATCAGTTCAAGTTCCGTTGAATAGCTTAGTTTTGTCTATCAAGCCATCAATAAATTATCTGCCCCAACTTGCCCCCGGCTCTTTAAAACTACATGTTCTTGGGCGCTCAGGCACGGTTGTGGTAAAAAACCTCGCGATTTTAAACCTATATCGCGCGCGTATCTGTGTTTTTGCTTTACAAAATATAAGGTTTTTTTATTTCTGGGTTGCGTTCATGATGTTTACTCGATTCACTCGGATTTAACTCAAAACATTTATTACAACAGTGGTGTATAAAGTTTCACTTGCGTAAATGGTTCGGGACTACTAAGATATTTAACACCGATTTTACATATTATTTAACCCACCTCTTGTAAGTGCGTGAAAACAACTCCGCATGCGCATTGTAGTGTGCTAATATCAAATATGAATTGAGGTTATTTGTGTTGACAATTTTTTTAGCGAATCCAGTGAAGGAGACTGTTTAATATTTATGTAGGTATTAAATAATATTATATAAATGTAATTATAATAAACTAAATTAAGCTATTTTATAAAAAGATGTTTTATTTACATTTTAAAAAGAACCTGCATATGTCTGCCATTTTGGATCTACCATTTTGAATTTTAGAATTCTGATTCCAGATTCGTTTTCAGCGACCCCAAAACCCCTGAATGGTGATTTTCAATCTATTCCGTCAATTTTTTGACAAATATGTCCGCCATTTTGGATCTACCATTTTGAATTTTGGAATTCTGATTCAGATTCGTTATCAGCGACCCGAAAAACCTCTATATACGGATTTTTAGGAGAATCCGCCTACTCCTTGATATTTTGCCGAAAATTTCGAGCATTGAAACACTGTGCGGCGTTATTGTCAATGCACATTTGAAGCCTATTACGACTTCATTGCTGCCTTTAGATTTTCCAAATTTTGTGGACGAAGTTTAAAAACTTGTGATTTTAGATAACCCCACAAAAAAATCGCAAGGGGTCAAATCAGGCGAACGCGGGGGCCACCCAATATCATCCAGTAAAGAGACACCTTTGCCCTTACAATTTATTTTAAAAAACCCTCACGTAATTAATGGACCTTTAAAAAATAAAAAGTTTATTCTTAGTTTGATTTTTATTGACATCCCAAATATTTCTGACAAATTCATTATGATGACTGAAAATGACATGCACGGACCTACCTAAAGCGACCACACTCTGCTCTATCCCCCCCCTAGTCAAGCAATGACCCTTTAAAAATGGGACAACCTTGTATTTATTAATTCCGCTTTAAATAAAAATCTTTGAACTATTTCTCTTAAAATTATTTAGGTCGTTTGGGTCAGCAGTTTCTCAAATTGTTTTAAATATCTATAAAATAAAAAATGTGCTAAATAATTTAACTAATGTCGTGTTTTGTTTTTATTTAATCGATAATTATTATTATATAATTACTTATGGTATAATAATTATTAAGTATGTTATATTCTTTAGATTTCGTTAAGAAGAACCGGGCACAATATTAGTCCAGGGGTGCCACCGATTTGCCTAAACCAAATTCCCTGACTTTTCCAGGTATTCCCTGAAATTCCCTGATTTTTTTTTCAGACAAAATGTGTCGACGCTGGCAGTTGTCTTTTTGTTTCCTGACCCTCAATGATTTTTTCAACTGGAATTTAAGTGTTGGTTCTTAAAATTTTAAGTATGGTTTAATCTGGTTATCTTATAAAGCAATATTATTATCCTGCAGGATTACATGTAAAACTGTAACTTTTTTCCATCTGGTTCTTTTTTTTTTAATTTGAGAAATTTGTCATTGTCAAAATCCTTTTTTATGGCATTTGGCAATCCGGATTAAAGACTTGGTTCTTTTTTTTTAATTTGAGAAATTTGTCATTGTCAAAATCCTTTTTTATAGCATTTGGCAATCCAGAAGTCTTTTTACTTGTCATTCATGCCGAGATTATTACCTACTTTACAAAAATTTGTACAAGTATTTTACTGATTAATTAATAAACTTAATAATTGTGCTTACCATTTACAAAATAATAGATTATTATTATACGAGAGATAATGCAGGTTATTATAAACGAGGATTAGGTTTTCGTCTCGAGTCGCTAGACGAGACTTAAATAATCCAAGTGAATAATGCGCATAATCTCGATTGTAATATTACACCTTATCTACTTTAATAAGTAGAAATGATTTTCAAAAATAAATAAATAAATTTTGACTTCTGTCAAATGATTAATCTCACTTTTTGCCAATTTTAAATGTTATTATAATAATAATAATAAAATTTCTTTATTTCAATTCATGTTTCTATACAATAAAGTACAAAGAACAAAAGATGAAATGACGTCACAAAAGAAAAAAAACAACATTTACATGTATATGTCTATCCTTAGATCAACAATAATCCTATTTAAAATGTATAACTTAAATACTCTTCTATGTTGTAGGGTTCTATGTTTACAATGGTTTTTTTTATATTGCGTTTAAACTGCTTAATGCCACCTAGTTCTTTGATTGAAGCAGGTAATTTATTAAACAGTTTCGTGCACATATAGTAGGGACTTTTTTCTGTTAAAGTGAGGCGATGTCTTGGATATAACACAATTTGATGTCTAGTATTGTAATTATGGTAGGTATCGAATTGAAAATGACTTTTATTTCTAAAGATATACATCAAACATTCGTAAATATACAATCCATATATGGTCATAATATTTA